TTTTTATTATTTTTCTGTGAGTTTATGGCAACTCTGAAAGTGAAGATAATAAATTAAAAACGGAAGTTTCCGTTTTTGTTTGTGATGGAATCGTTTTGTGTTGTTTATTTTTAATATTATTATTTTTTAAATTTACATTTCCCGCCGGTGATATTTCTATTAATTTATAATTATTTTTAAATGGTGAAAATTCAATAACTTGACGGATTTCCGTTTCTCCTTTAATATCATCATCATTCGGGAAAATTTGATTTTTCCCGTTTAAACCTTCGAATCGCGTTTTATTCCGATCGGAGTTATCATCATCATCATCATTTGATTTTTTAATTAAATTTTCCTTTTTCTCGATTATTATTTCTTTTGTGACTGGTAACTTAAAAAAAGTTTTTCCTCCCCTTTCGTCCGTTGTGAAATTATCAATTTCTATCAATGAAGCTTTGGCAACTTTTTGAAATTCTTCACTTTTTTCAATCATGTATTCATCATCGGTTAATTCTCCCAATTCTTTTTCGTAATTTTCTTTTACGTTGCAATTTTCCAATTTTTTATCCGTCGTCATTATTTCCTTAGGGGAATCCATATTTTCATTATTTGTTTTCAATTCGGAAAAATATTTTTGTATCATTCTTTTACTATAAATTGTCATTGGAGCTTTTATTTTTTCCCTTTCATTTTTAAATGATAATTTCCAGTCTTCTGTTACGTCAGGCGGATCTCCATTTAAAAATTGAGTATTTTCTTCTTCTTTTCTTTCATTTTTCACTAAAAAAAAAAAAAAAAAAAAAACAATAAAATATTTTTATAAAAAACATTAAAATTCAATTGATAATAATAACAAACAACCTGGGATTGTTGTTGACTTTTCACTTTTAATATTCTTATCATTTATCATTTCACCGAATAATGTGTCCAATGGCGATTTCCCTATTTCGTAATTTTTTAATTTTGTACTTTTGGATTCTTTCGATGATCTTCCCTTAACTTTCGAAATGACGTCATCGTCGTCTTCTTCTTCTTCTTCTTTATTAAAACGTTGTTTTAAATTTTTAACATCTTTTATTTTTTTAGTCTCTCTATCTTTACTCCTAGATTTTTTTCTAGATAATGATCTAGAATTTTTACGACGATCGTTAAAATATTCTCTGGAATTTCTATAACGAGATCCAGAACGTGACCTGGATCGCGAACGTAATCTTGACCTATTTCTATCACTTCTTCTCCTATAACTTCCTGACCCTTCTGGACTAAATTTTTTTCGTCTCAAATATTTATCTTGTGATGATGAACGAAATGGGTAACAATTTGATGATTGATTGTAATAATTTTTCCTATCTGTAAACAATAAATTTTCTTTTTATTAATACACAATTCGAATATGAACACTGATAAAAAAAAAAAAAATTGTTTTTAATTTCGAAAAGTTTCGTTTTAAAATTACTCGATATAATAAAGTAAAATTAAATTATTACTTTTCGATAACTGATGATAGTTTATTACTTTTTGCAATTATTTTTCATATTTTTTTAAATAAAATATATAAATAGTGATTTACTTATTTTCAAACAAATAAAATTTTTAAAAAGTGTACCTTTAGCATAAAGTTTGAAAATTACTCACCACTATCATTATTTTTATCTTTATTATCACAGTCGTTTCTTTTATATTTTAAAAAATTATGATCCCTCTCATAATTAAAGTCTTTTTTTTTTAATTTACAATTTTGACAAATGTTTTCTTTGTACAAAACAGATTCTTCCTTATCTGTATTTATACATTTATCTGCAGTCTTTTTTTTATTACATCTTCTGAATGCAATCGAATCGATTCTAAATAAATTAGAATAACGTTAGCTGTATATCAAAGTGAAAATCAATAGTGTTAAACATATCAAATTTTAAATTACATTTATATAAAATATATAAAACTTTTCTTAAATATATTTTATAATTATTTATATAAAAAAGGAACCATTCACACTTACTCTGCTCTTAATTCACCTATCGTAGAATCCTTTCTGCTTATTTCAGCTCGTGCAGTTTTTAAAAGTATTGATAAATTTTTTTCCAAAACATCATTTGATTTTTTTAATTTTTTATTTTCCTCAGTAAGAACATTTACTGATTCTAACAATTCATTAATTTTTTTATTATTTTCCTCCTCATTGAATTTATCCTAAAAATAAATAAAGAATCGCCATTAGTTTTACACTACACATCATGCAATTAAACGATTTGTACATATTAATAAATAATTTAGGAAATTAAATCAGAAAACATGAATTTTTTAAGCATGAAAATTTTTAAAAATTTTACTTGCTTATTTAGAATGGAATACCACCATACCTGAGCCACTTCTTCATTAAAATTATATTCTGCAAAATCTTTATAAATATCTTCATCTGAATCGTTATTACCTTCAGAATTATTCATTTTAATTAAATTTAAAACGGTCTTAAATTTTAAAAACTAAAAATTGCCTAAATAAAAAATAATAATAAAATCATTTTCTTTAAAATTTCATAACATACTGACACGATTGTATATATTTTTTCGCGGATTTAAATGGAGTTTAACGTGTCACTAGAAAGTAAGAAAAACAATTCAAAAAAAGTTTTTTTTTTTTTAATAACGTTTTTTCTCATTTGATTATTAATGGAAAGAAACAAAAACTTTTTATAAAAATAAAAAAGGAGATTTTTGATTTATAAAATTCTTATAATTACAAATAGAAACTTAAAATAATGTTTTTCTTAAAGTAAATTTTTTATGATATGTAATAAAAGAAGTAATGGTAGGTATGACAAAATGAACAAAAACAGAGAAAATTGATGCAAAATTGTTTGAAATTGGATTAAAAATTTTAAAGCCATTTCAATCAAAGCATCTCTTAATAATAAATTGAAAATGTTTAAATTATAAAAAATAAAAACACAAATTACAGTGCATTAAAAAAAAAGAACATGGAGTTAATGTATTAATCAAGAATTCAAATGCCTACCATTTAAAAGATTAGTTTTATTTATTTATTTATTTTTAATCCATTAACTGTGACCATAACTTGCAACAGATAATGAATTAAATTTTTTAATTTTTTTCCATCAAAGTTTTAAATTATTCAAACCAATTATCTTTTTAAAAAAAATTTTTGTTTTATATTAAGTAATGTTTTAAACTTAATCACCCATGCATATATTATACACAGCTGTGGAGGTTCTCATCTGGAATGTAAAATTTTATTAAGCTATTAATGACTTGTCAAATTTTATTTTGCATAATATGAACATTAATTGAAAAGTTTTTTTTTTCAAATAAAATTTTAAATAAATTTCTAATATTTCCAGTCTAAATTTTTTTTTTTTAACCAAATCCTTATTTCAATTAAAATTCCTGTTTTTTTTAGTACTCGATAATAAATAACATTTAAAATAAAATATATTTTTAAAACTGTTTGAAATTTAAGTGTAATATTTTGTCGAGTTTATACAAAATAATAAAGCAAAATTAAAATTAATATTTTTCCTTGTAGAATTAATAATTAATCAACTTACTTGCACAAAAATATTTTACTAAAATGAATACTAATGGATTTTTGAAATAATCTTCTTGTTGTTTTAAATAACAAGGGATTTTTATTAAAATATCAAAAGTCAAAATAAATATAGATGAATTGTCGATAATTTATCACATACATACAAATCAATCTTTTAAAAAAATAAAGTTTAACAAAAAAAAAAACTAAAAATTATTTTAGCAACCATTATTCGATGAATACACAAAATGTAAAAAAAAGTGGTTAAATTTATTGAAATAACTTTAAATTTTCCACAATGATGTCTCAAAGAAAAATAAAAATGGTTTACCACTGTTTTAATTATGCACTTAAATCATTCTGATGGTCAAGTATGTTCGATAAAAGTTTCAAATGTAAAAC